TAATTACCTCTTGTTCCCTCTACATTCCCACCACCACTGCCTTGGTTCAGCCTACACACAACTGAACTAAGTAAATACCAGGCTTTTCATGATCTGGCCACAGTTAGCTCTTCTTGACCTATCTCCGGGCTCCTCCACTTTGATGCTGCAATGTTGATGCAAATGAAATCAAATGTACATATGGGATGCTCTTTAATTTACATCTCCACTTCTCCCCACCCCCACATTTTATAGTCCAGAAAACCCAAGTGCATTGTTTTATGAGTCTGTGTCTCTACAGTGCTATCCCTCTGCCTCCTGGAATCCCTCCACCTCTCACATGCTCATCTAGCAAACTTAATTCACCTTTGAAGCCCAGATCAGAGGACCCTTCTCAGAGACTTTCTCGGGTAGAATTCATCACTCCACTCCACTCCCTCCTTCATGCAAAACCTGCACCTTATATTAATTTTCATTGTCACAGTGTATTATAATGGATATATTTATGTGGCTCCCTCCCTCACTAGACCATGAACTCTTTGAGGACAGGACTGTGTCTTCCTCACATGAACCCAGAACCTGATATATAGTAGACACCCAGAAACTTTTTATTGAATGAAATGAAGCCCATGCTTGCTCCAGAGGGTATATATTTTCTCCCCTGAAACCCTCACCTCCCTAAATTAGAAGATAATGCATAATAGCTAACACTTTTATAATACTTCTGTGTGCCCAGGCACTGTAATTAGCACTCTATACATACTAACTTATTTAATGTTCACAACAACCCCAAGAGGTAGGTACAATTATGATCCCTTTATAGATGGGGAAATTAAGCTTGCCCATGATCAAGGAGCTGAGATCCCAAACTGAATCTGTGCTGTGAATTAGTCTGCTATATTGGATCCAATTCCTCAAATCCAGATTAATTAATCATATTGTTTTGATAAATTTAGCTGTGATGACAGTTTCATGATTGACTAAAAAGACTGAAGATGAATCATTATTTTTGTAGATCTGACTGCAAATTGCTCCCCAATGTAAATATGGCAGCAGCTGAAGCCTGTACCGTCTACCCTTATGATGAAGGTGGTGCCTTTTGCTCCACACCCTTTAACAGGCTCCCTTCCTATGGGCCTGCTTCTAATGTAACCAGTGAGCAAGCCCCTCTGCATTCTTATCCTAATCAATTGATCAGACCACACCCAAGCAACATGTCAGTGTGAGCTGAAAGTATAAAATTTAAAAAAAGCTTTATTAATTAAGAAAAGCTGATGGCCACTGAGCCAGGCAGCCTCCTTGCAACAATGGCCAGAGCCCTTTCTGCTCTTTGTACTCTTGGGCAGCTGAACAATGCTTCCTGAGCAAAGGAAAGGCAGCTTAGTTTAGTCCATGAGTGGGTGTGGAACCACCGAAATGAATTGTGTTGCAACTAAGCTTCTGTGGCTTTCTCCTTTGTGCAAAGGAAGTGGAATCTATCCAGCCAGCACCCTTCAGGGACTTTGAACTCACTCATCAGGAGTCAATACGCCTTATTCCTATCTGCTTTTCTTCAGGTCTGAGCATATTCTTGTGAATGACGATTATCATGGTAATGACACTGAGATTGATAATGATAGTGATAGCAGCTAACCCTTACTGTTCTATTCTAACGCACACTAAGTTGTAAGTTATATAACTTCGGCACCAATTGCTAAGAATCCATGAACTCGAATTAGTGTGATAGTCTGAAAATTTTATATCAATAAGAATGAAAAACAGTTTTGTTTCTTTGAAGATGAATATACCTATATTTACATACATATCCATTCTTCACTTAAATTTGTTTAAAAAGGAAAAGAAAATGCCCTGGCCCAGGTTGCCCAGTGGTTAGAGTGTCAGCCTGTGCACCAAAGGGTCGCAGGTTCATTTCCAGGTCAAGGGCATGTACTTGGGTTGTTGGTTCAGTCCCCGCCCCAGGTCCGGACCCCTGCCTGAGGCAATCAGTCAATGTGTCTGTCTCACATCAATGTTTCTCTCTCTCCCTCCCCCTCTTCCTACTTCCACACTCTCTCTGAAAAGCAATGGAAAAAATATCCTCAGGTGAGGATTAAAAATAAAGTGAGAAGAAAACATAAATTAAGTGTTGCAGATATGATATGGGCTGCGAAAAAACAAAGCAGGACAGTGGGGTAGAGTGTCATGTAGACGCTCTGTGTGCGCAGAAGTTACACTGGCGAGAGTGACCTGGGAGGTTACTCTAGACAGAGTGACTTGGGAAGCCCTCTTGGAAGGGATGTCCTTTGAGCTGAGTCCCGAATGATAGGAAAGAGCTAACCCAGGAAAAGAAGCCCAGGCAGAGAGACAGCAAGTGCAAAGGCCCTGCAACAGGAACAAGTACACTATGTGTCAAGAATGGAAGAAGGCCGTGCGCAGAGTGCCTGTAGGGGAGAAGGGCAGGAGCAGGAGCTGGAGAGGAGTCAAGAATCAGCTCCTCAATGTTTATGGCACAACATCACAGCTTAAAGACCTCTGATATTTAGCACTCAAGTAATGCTTGTATCTCCTTTATTTTTTGAGGAATTTGATTATTCTGTGTTTGGAGGAAGTCCCAAACACAGTTAAGGATAGATTTTTGTTGTTATTGTTTTTTATTTATTTTTATTTGAATAACATTGAAACTTCAGATGGCTTCCTTAATCATCTAAAAACTTTTCCTCTGCCCGTCTCTTCTTTGTCCACTAATTAAAGATAGCCTAGTTGATTTACTTTCATTCACACAAGGACAGTTGCTGTTGATACAAAATTACTGTTATTAAAACAAATTGTTAAATGCTACCCTTTAATTTTGATAATTACACAAGATGCAGAGATATGCAAAGATGATGTAAACTCTACAAACCACTATTATATGGAGATAAATGTTTTGTTTTTTCAACCCTTTTTCCATCTAAAATTAATTTGAAGCTGGAAGAACAATGGTTGTGCATTCCTTTTGAAGTTGAACTCACAGTGGTAACCCAGGGGAGGCAGTTAGGGAATTCCAGGAGTCAAGATGGAAGTGGGGTATGTGTTTGAAGCCAGACGTGAGAGATGTGAAATCCCCATTGCTTAAATCATAATAGGGCCGGGAATAGGAGAATTTAGAGACTATGTGAGGAATATATTTTTGTTTGTGGAAATAGTGCAGAATTTATTCATTCATCCACCTGGCAAATATTCATTAACCCTGTACTTTGTGCCAGGCATTGAAGTCCCCAGGAGCAGTCCAGTGTCTGGCACTAGAGGTCCAGACTCCCTTATCCATCTGGGAAATCTTGCATGGGTTGTAATTTTGTACATGTAAGGGAATCAGCTGGTTTCCAAGCTATATCACCTTGTTATTTCAGATCTGGGTGTTAGTTATAGTTTAGCAATTCTGTATTGAATTTAGGTCATATTTAAAGGCTACAGAAATGCACCCTCTGAACAGCAAACAGGGAGTCTAATGCCTCTTCCATTGTTGCCAGACAGGCAAAAATATTATAGAAGCGATGTGTGATATTATCAGTGCTCCTAAGAGCCTAAAGCAAGTTGCTTTCAAGTGCCAATTATTATGCAAAAAGCAGGGAGATGATAGGTAGGAACATCAACCTCAATAGAATTGTCATTTTAAATTAAAACTTTCAATTTGACGGAGTGTGGCGCCCCATAGCCACCCAGTGATTTTCATTATCACGGAAGCATTAGAAGGCTGGCGCTGAAGCTGCTCTTCACCTAGCATGGTGCAAACATGGTCTCTGGCTTCCAAGCTGGCGCCTGCATGGCACCCGAGCACAGGGGAGGAAGGGCACCACCTGCTTTCTTTGTGATTTGTGCCTGTGCGTGTAAGTGCCCCATTACCAGAGGTGTCCCAGACAAAGGTCATGTTCTTCTCTAAGATGATAAAGTTCCTGTGTTAAAGCTTATTCAGAGTCATGTTGACTTCTTATTGAGCTATTATGTAACTTTTATTTACCAAATGATCAACCATTATTTGTACAGTTTGAGAATGCTTTCAAATTCCCAGAGCTAGCTTTTCTTTCCCGTGAAAACTAAATGTCAGGCATATGTTAAAGAAGTTTTTAAGAGCACAATGTATTTATTACTAAGGCGCAGAACAATAACCCTCCTTTCTTTTTTTAAATATATCTTTATTGATTTCAGAGAGAGGAAGGGAGAGGGAGAGAGAGAAACATCAATAATGAAAGAGTCATTGATGGGCTGCCTCCTGCATGCCCCAAAAGGGGATCGAGCCTGCAACCCGGGCATGTGCCCTGACCGGGAATCAAACTTTGATCTCCTGGATCCTAGGTCGATGCTCAACCACTGAGCCGTGCCTGGCCGGGCACTCCTTTCTTTCTAAGAATAAAAATAATCCAACTAACTGTATGTATGTTAGAGTTAAGGACTGAAAAGTTTGGTGGTGGTTGTTTTTCTAACCAAGTGAAAACTTTTTTTTTAACCAGGTTTTAAGAGGCAGTTCAGCCTGATGGATAGAGTAATGAATGAGGAAGATTCCAGTCCCAACAGTGAGACATTGAGAAAGTCATTCATTCTGACCTTTCTTCCGTTCGCTGACCTTAAAAGTGGAGGTAGCCCTTCACATGACTTTGTTGGATTAAAAAGTTAAAGTGGTTTGTGCAAAGCTTAATTGCGATTTGCTAAAAGGATTCCTTTAAGATCGAGACATTTAAATTTAATATTAGCGTCATTAGATTTAAATATCCACCTTTTGACGTTCAAAACAGAAAAAGAAGCAGAAAGACATGTTCCCACCAAAGCTGTCTCAGAGCAGGTTCCCACCCTCAGAAACTGTAAATAGAGAATGCACTGTGAATACTCGTAGTATGTGATATTCATAAAATATTCCAACATCAGCGCTAGAGTTTCCTTCTCCTCTTTGATAAGAGATCAAACAAAGGGGTGTGTCCCCCTCCAGGAGCTACCCTTCTTGATAAACTGGTCCCCGGGACCTTTCCAAATCTTAATCAACTTCCAGAATGAAAAGAGCACAGAGTTGCTCGCATTTGACTTAAACGCTTTTATTGACAATGTCTCTGAACAATAAGCAAACAATGCTTCACTTTTTCATTCAAATTCACTCTCCACATGTCAAAAGACCTCAAGGTAGAAAAAAATAAAATAAAAATATAAATATCTGAGAATCCATCTTAATAAATAAATTAAAAACACAATAAAACGTTTTCATGGAAAACTGTTAATGTCAGAACAATCATTCCACCTCAACAATGCATGATCAGTAACATTACAATGAACATTGATGTTGAAGAAAAACTACAGTACATGGATATAGCTAGTTATTTCTACCTACTAGAAAATAAAGTCATATCTTCTTAGTTTAATATTGGTCATTGCTAATCAGAACACACTATTGCCAGGAACACAGTAGTTATTAAAATCAGCTGCACTAGATACAATTTGAAAATATCCAGCACCAGGTTAATTCCAATAATGAACCCAATAGATTAGTTAATGCTATGAGAAGACTAAAAAGAAAAAGAGACACAGACCCAGGCCTGGCTCAACATGCTACTAACTACCAGCTCTCAGATGTGTCACTGGGAACAATACACACTCCATGCGTTTTGCTACATCTCCGAAAGAGGTAAAGACTTGAGTCCACCCGTGGATGCTTTCAAGTCCTTTGAGGCCCACGGCCTGGTGTGTTTCACGCACAGATAAGGTCCTCCCTAGGTCTACGGGAACCCTCGAGGGAAGATGTGTTTCTCCTCTCTGTAATGCACCAGCTCAGGACAGTGGCACCGGTGTGTGCCCGCTGCCTCCCCTCCCTGCCTGCTCACAGGGCCAGCAACGTGGGTGAGCTGAGCGAGTCAGAGGAGGGCTCGTTGCTGCTGCTGCCCTTGCGGTGGGCGGCCGCACAGCTGGGGTAGGAGTCGGCCTCGGGGTAGGTGAAGACGAAGGAAGACGTGTAGGTAGTGCAGCTGGGAGTGCAGGTGACCACCGGGGTGCACAGGGGCTCCAGCTCTGTGGCCATGGGCCCCATCCCCAGGGAGCCACCGTGCAGGGGCTCCCAGTCTGCTGCATAGAAGGAACCAGACAGGTCCATGTCGGGCACCGAGCGGGAGGTCTCAGAGCCGCTGGGCCTGGACGATGCGGGGAACAGGAAGTCATCGAAGGGCTCAGCCTTCAGCTCCACGCTGCTCAGGTTTTTGATGGGCTCCACGGAGGGCTTGGGCTCAGGGTCGCTGAGGAGGGGCAGGGCGAAGGCCTCCTCGGACTCAGGGTTGGCGGCCTCAGGCAGGCCTCCACTCAGGTCGAGGGAAGCCACGGACAGCTCCTCCGGGAAGCCCAGGTCGTCGGGGATCTTGCAGGCAGGCCGGTGCGCCGCCAGGATGAACTCCAGCTTTTCCTTCTCCTTCAGCAGGTTGGCGATCTCGGTCTGCAAGGCAGACTTCTCGTCTTCTAGCTGGTCCGTCTCCTGTGTGCGGAGGAACAAGGCAAAGCATGAGACACAGTCTCCCTCCAGGAACGGCTCCCTTCTGCCCAACCGCCAACTTTCCCCTGAAGTTTTATAAAAGGAGCAACCCATGAAATCGACCCACCGCTTGCAGCGTGTCGGTCAGCTCCCTCCTCCGGTTTCGGCATTTGGCTGCAGCCATCTTATTCCTTTCCCTTCGGATTCTCCTCTTCTCTTCTTCTTCTGGGGACAACTAGAAGGAAAAAAGACCGAAGGTCAGTAACCGCGTCTGCCGTCGGCTCCATGCACCCTGCAGCTTCCCAGCTCCCTGGCACCTTGTCTGTGGAGCCGTTTCTATCCAACCCGCAGTTTCAGGCTGGCTGTGACTTGCATTTCAAATAAGATGCTCAGCCAGAGAATGGAGAGGAGCCCAGAGTAAAAGCCCGAGAAAGGAGCCCCTCAGGGAAGAAACCATCAGGGTCTCCTTGGGGTGGAATTAGGACAGTCTGCCTGCAGATGGCAAGACCTTGGAGCCAGATGTGCAGTCGTTCCTTCAGTGACCTC